GAAAACCGAAATTGTTCGAAAACCGAAACCACGCTCTTTCTAAATTAAAAATGTTTATTGAACACGTCTGCTCACAATGGAAAGCAACACAAGGAAGCGTCACTTCCTCATGTAAGGAAGGTGAGAGGAGTCAAACGGTGCATTCAAGTGCGCTCAGTTTGTTCAGAACCGAAATTTGTTCGTCATCCGAGGCATAAAAAAACTCGAAATTTTTGGTCGAAAACCGAATTGGCCGAGAACTGAGACGTTCGAAAACCGAGGTTTGACTGCATTCAAAATGAATAAGATTCTTGCATTCACGCAGCATTAAAACATTAGCATCAAAGCTAAGACAAACCTCAGTCAACCAATATTTACTTTCCGACAATTTATCTGGTCGTAAAAATCCCAATTTTCTCCCCAAATAATTAATTTTTTTGGGTTGTAAAATATAGCCTTTTCTAATATCTTTTTTTTAGGTACCATTCGGAATTTTCTTCGAACGTTTTGACTTTTTTGTTTTGATGTGATGACTAATGTTGCACTGAAAATACATGACTCTTCTCTCCACCTTTTTTCTTGGAAGATTTTTTTATTTTTTAACTCGTAACATTATGGCATTTCCCCATCAGACTTAAGGCTTTTTCCTTGGAACAATATGTCATTTTTTTCTTTAGGAGAATTGTAACCTCTCTTGGAACATTAAAACTTTCCCCTCATCGTATTATGAAATTTTCCCGTAACAATTGGACCTTTGTTCTTTGAGAAATCTTTATTCTCAGAATTGAATGACTTTTTCTCTGAACATTACAGCTTTCTCCTTTTAATGTTATGATGTTTCTTGTAACATTTTTTTTTTGACAGAACTTTTTCGGAGCTTTTTCTTGGAACATTATAACTTTTCCCTCGTTACGTTTCAACTTTTTTTTTCTTGCCACATTCCAACTTTTTTCTCAGACTATTATGACTTTTCCTGTAAACCTTATATTTTTTTGCAGCATTTTGATGTTGCTTGTAACGTTAAGTTTTTTTTCTTGTACATTGAGATTTGTTGAAACCAAGTTTTTATACGAATCATTTTCGGATTGGAACATTCTTGTCGCTGTATGACTTGTAATATTATAATTTGTTTCTTGACATGTTACGAATTTTCTTTGAACCTGATGACTTTTCTTAAGATTCAGAGTTTTTTTGTTGTGGCATTTCAGCGTTTTAGGTAAAAATACGTGATTTGATTTCCGAACTTTGCTGGAACGTTTTGACTTTATCATAACATGACCGCTTATTCTCATGACAAAAATCGGAACGTTTTTCTCATAACATTGTGATGTTCTTGTGGCATTATGATGGGGGGGGGGGGGGGGGG